TATTACTTTAAACAGAGGACTTCAACCTCCTGTCAAGGGCACTGTCTTCTAACTGTTTTTAAACTGTTTTCACTCACTTGCTGAAGCACAAGGCCTCTAACAAAGCCGTCACCCTTGTGCCGCTGAAACATCATCAGCACTCTTAGCAGCAAACAGCAAGAGACAAGCACGAAGCCAACACAACATTTTAGTATTGATTTCTCCAAGAAATTTAAATCCCGTGGGGCATAAACATCAATTTAATCTGTATGCAACTACAAAATGGCCTCACTCACAGCGTTCCTAATTTCAGCCAAAACACTGCTACAACTGGAGTAGAAACATACTTGGCGGTGAAGGCAAAGGCGACTGACGGAACGAGTACCCCAGCGTTCCTGATAATTCGTAAGAGTTTGAGAGACTACAATCACAGAAGCCAGTCGGTCAAAGACAACCACCAGCAGAAAAACTTGTCTCATAGCCTGACACAAAGCCATCCCCAGAGAATCCTGAGGACCAGTGACACCCAGCCTTGCCGAACTGCAGAGCCACTTCATCCTCCAACAGACCAACACTTTGCTGAGAAGTGACAGCCTCATGCCTCACCTTCGGGTTTCTGAGCCTCCAAATGACAACATGAACGATGAAACACAATCGTTCCATGTTATACTAATTGATATTTTCCGAGCTTCCCTCGCTCCATCAGATTGCCTTCCCTGCAGACATAGAGCCACACATTATTACTACCTTCAATCTGCTGAAAAGAGCATCAGAAGAAAACACCACCTGAAGGAAAAAGGAAATTTGGCACCTTGGAGTTTGCCCTCATGTAATCTTAGACTGAGTTCTTCAGAAGATCTAAGTTCCCACTCTAACCACTGAGAAGTCAGGCCCAGCAGGCTCTGACATTTCCCTTTTTTTCCCTAGCGCTGCAGGACTGCTGTTTTGTTTAAGAATGCATCCTGTTGTGTATCCAATCAGAAAGATGTACTTTCACACATTTGAAACACTGGTAACATGTAGCATTTAAGGAAAAAAAATGGCTCATTCTTACACCAGTGCAAAGCCACAGGCATGTCTGTGTCACCCCAGCTAGTACTTACGCACCCAGTCAGCAGAATTCAGGGCACCAGCGTTATTTGCAAGCGACGGATTTATGTACGTAAGAAACCGTAAATCACATAATAAACACAGATGCAGGATTTTATGGACAAACCTTGCGCTTGTAAAATTTGGAACCTTCTATCCGCCTCCCCCTGCTGATGACAGTTAGGTGGCAGAATCAGATTCCTAAAGGTATAAATATGACACGAACAGCACATTGGGCAACTGGAGTACTACGAACCCGCTGACAGGCAGAACAACGTGAAGGCGGAAAGCCCTGTCCAAAGCTAACAGCTTCAACACAGACCCCGCCCCAGATAATCAGCCTACCTACAAGACAGGATTTATTAATTGCTGCTGCAGTCCCACAGAAGCTTATTTAACACAACCCTAGCACACACCTGACCCAGTATGCATAGACATAGTGCTCAGATTACCATTAACATGAAGGTTTCTACACTGTAGACCAGCACATCATTTAAATATCTATTGACTACATGTGTGATCAACACCAGAACCCCTACCTGTGTGCTGTTTTCCTTCAGCATACATAACATACATCATACCAATATTTACTTCACCCATCAGCGGGCAGGGGGAGAGATTTTGCTCCCAAGAACAATCAGTTTTGTGGGTCTTCACCAGGACAGCTTTGCTAGGCCCAAGCAAGGACCATCGCAACATTCTCCAGTCAGCATCAATATGAATTTTAGGATTGCTTGGTCAGGAACAGAGGCAACTCTGAAGCGATCATCACGATTATTAAAGTCTATACTGGCAGATCAGTCTGAACCACTGACAGCTTTATAGCTGCTGTGATCACCTGTGTCACTGAGCTGCAGACACTGTCATTTCTCTATAAAGTTGCCATGGGTTTGACTTCAGAGTCCTCAAACCACGCAGCAAGCCTGTCTGCATGACTAGCCTCTGAACTCCAGTTGTAAGTTCAGCTTTCAAAAGGGGATGGCTGCGAGCAGAAAAAGGAAGTGACAAAACAGAAGGTGTTTATGATACAATCAAAATCCAGGAAAATAAAGGCAGAACAGCAAACCTTCACCTTATCTACATGAATCTCTGAATCGGAGGATGTAAACAACAGGGACAGACCAAACTTCACTTGTTTGTTTCTAGATCACAACACTCTATCCACCCCTTAAGCACATAAGCAAAACAGGATACAGGGTGTTACTGAATGATTTCCCCTGAAATCTGATTGAGAAAGATTAGAGCAATTAGAACAGAGTGACACACACTTTTAAAACCCTTAAATCACGATTAATGTAAGGTTTAACTTTTCTCCTAAGGATCATCTGGTGACTCTGTGCCATTTTCAAAATAAGGCTGACATACACATCCCAGCCTCAAAGGAAAAAACCATGAGACAGAATCCCCTGCCCTCTACTGGCACATGAGCCACACTGAAACCTCTGCACATGCTTGCAGGCAAGCGCAAACAGCACCTGAAGAACTGTTTTAAGGGGGTTTTTTTAAACTATTATTTGTAATTTATGTAAGAACTATAATATACGGGACACATCAAACTGAGAACAAAGCCTCACATATAAAACACTCTTGCAAGATAATATATTCATTAACTGAAAGTAAATTCTAGGGGATTATCTAATGTTTGTCTTGTTCACAGCGCATAACTGAGAACTCTAGATGACAGATTTTTATTTATTTATTTTTATAAAATTCTCTTCCATGTACGCTGCTGCTTTTCAGATTACAGGCATCCAAACTGCATTTGGCCCAAGAATAAAGAGGCAGATTCATGACTCTGCCAAAACAATTTTCCATCACCTTGGTGCCAGAGCTAGGGCAATTCTTAGCCAGGTCTCCGACTCATTTGCACCACTGAGATGCCACCACACAAACCTCAGGACACCACAGCAAAGCCTTTGTTGTGACTGACCGTGCCACTTCCATTTCTGTTACGGATCAATTTGATAGGTGTCATCATATAACTTTCAAGATCTTCTGAGCAGTTATTACTGTATTCTCCCATTGGTGTAAACAACAATAACAAAAAAAGCCAAGATTTACACTGCTGTGATTGTATTTCTGAATGTAAATCAGCTTGATTCCTGGAAAAAATCAAAGTAAATTCCCCATGTAGACAAGGAATTGAATAAACACAAGGGTCCTGACTGTATATTTCATCCAAAAGATAAATAAGTTTTTAAATCACGCTAAAAACAAAAAAGCACCCTGAAAAACAGCAGCTATTAAACAAGAGAAAGTCTGGCAATACCAGAGTAATTCCCACAATGCTCATCCATACCCTGAAAGAAACATGCTGAGAATACACCCTGTTTTCAGAGCTGCCACACAACAAATGCAGATGTAAGCCTACCATCACCACACAAATAACTGAACATGACATTTAAATAATACCACTAAGGAAAAATGGGAGATGCGTACAGCCTATACTACGTACAGCAGTTCTTTTTTAAAGCAACTCATCTTTTAGTTACCAAATAGCTAAAAGACCCTTGGGATGAAACAAAACAAAAGCATACAAGGTTCCAAGGAATCTACAGGAACACAGTGCAATCACACCCATCTCCTTTTTACTGTAGACATATACAGCATTAAAAAAAAAAAAAAAAAGTGTTCTTAAAGCTTATTAAGCCACATCCTAAAACTAGTTAGGTTTTTGGCTGTCCTACTTAGCCTGAATGTATTTACAGATAATTTCTACCTGTTTGTTTCTGTGCCAGAGCTGCCTGATATCTTAAATAGTTCTTCTTGCACTCTGGTGTTTGTCTAACCCCTGACATTTACAGAGTGCAAAAGTATCCTCTTCAGCCATGAGCCTTCTAGGCTATTCAAGCCAAGGTTTTGGTGCAGCAGAATCTAAGAATGAAGGATAAACAGGTATTTTAAACTATGTGGATCTCTGCCTGTCTCCATAAATAACCTCCACAAATAAATACGGTTTCAAGTATATAAGAAAATATATAACAGGAAAACCTTTACAGCATAAATTTATGAGGTGGTCTTGCCAAGCCTTGTGATTTGTTCCAGTATCTCCACATTTTCTCAACTTTCAGCTCTCTTAAAAAAACCCAAAAATATTTTATCCTTCATGATTATGGATAAAAGCCTGGAGGTTGGAGTCAAGCAATGGCTTGTAAAGGAGGAGATCAGCATTGGCTTGTAAAGGAGGAGGTCAGGATGTAGATAAAAATAATATGTTTTTAAAAAATAAAACATTGGTTAAGAACCCTCAAGATGAGTTAATTGAGTATTTTTTAGGATGCCACTAGCTGATACACTGACAGGAAACACCAATAAAACATCTTACCAACTTGCCTGTATTCTTTTTGTAGAATTGCACAGCTAGTAATGATCTGATCCCATTTCTATAGGTAAAATACTGGCTGATTTTGTTGTTCCAATATGCTAAAAACTATTCATATTACACATTCTAGCAAGCAGGATCTCTTGCTTTCTAAACCACAGGACAGGGGAAGGGCTTCAGCTTTATTAACAGAAAACAGAGGTAAAGAGGTAAGTGACCAGCTTATGGCAGATCCAGGAACTGAACATAGATTTCAGATTTTGTGTGCCTTAGGCAGAAGGCTGGTCGTCTTTTCACTTAACAAGCTGTCGAAGCCCAAACTCTTATTTAAAAATTGACAATGTAGCTCAGTAACAATGAAGCAGCAAGAATACTTGAAAAAGAAGTCATCTTAAAGTTAAACCATCGGTCCTTCTAAAGTTAATACCTGCAAAAACTTGCTCCCAACACACCACCAAAATTTCTTCCAGGAAGCTAACTTAGAATTCATATCAGTTTCCGTATCCGTCAGGCAGGACAAGAATCACAATACTGACACTACTGTCGAGACTCCTATCTTTGTGTTTGATCTCTGGCACCATTAGTTCTGCAGCTTTTTCATCGTACTTACTGACTTTATATCCCAGCTTTTCAGCATGAATCCTCTTGGCCATGAACTGCCCTTCAATCAACGCTCGTACTTCCACCTCCTTTGGAAAGTCTGAAACCTGTATCAAAGAGGGAATGCATGAAGTTAACGAGCACCTTACACAGTATAAAATGCCAAGCTGGAGACTGGTTAAAAACACAAAAGATATTTATCATTGATTATCCTTGTCTTGACCCTGAAATCTGCTTTCAACTAGGCCCAGTTCTTTACTCATACACACAAGATGGACCTAAAGACTCATGACGGAGAATGCAACCCATAACCTCGGTGCTGTTGGCAAATCCATCAAACTTTAAATCAGTGCATGATGGGAAGAGGTTCTAGTGCAAGTTGTGAACTCTTCTCTATGCATTTCTCAGCACCAAAGGCTGCTTAAGAATCAATAACTCAGAAATATAAAATTAAAGCAAGTACATAAAATTCAGATGCATCAAGCAACGTCACAAAAGTTTAAATCTATTTCTCTCTGCACAAAAGTGAAACTGTGTCATCTTTTAATTAATGTATTTATTTGCTATAAATAACATTTTTCTGTCATTTCGTCAACCAGAATATGAGAACGGCAATTCCTATTTTAATTCCAATTGGACTTGAGCTTGCGTTTACTTACATACCACTATGTAGCTTGTAGGTTACTCCAGGCAGGACAGCAAAATGAGGTCTTTACATACGCATTTAGAGCAAGATAAAAGACAAAATATTATAGCACAAAGTTTCAACATATCCTTATCTGTGTGTCTGCAACTTAGAAGATGGGGACTAAGTCATGTAAGTGTACTAAGCTCTCAATAAGCTTAAAGTTAATCCTGTTTCAAAAACGGCGTTGGTTTCAGTAAATCCACATTTTCCAGTAAAGGAAATATTTCCTCAAAAAACTACCGTATAAGTTCTAGTTCAGACTTTGCACTGTAGATACTCTCAAGCTACAGACCAAATACTTCCTTATGAAAATCATCCCAGGGACTTGCATCAATAAATGAAACTTGAAAGCAAGTATCTCAGACAAAAAAAAAAAAAAAAAAAAAAAAAAAAAAAAAAAAACAAAA